GAGTTAACCCTTATAAAGTCCTACTTTGCAAAGACCAGTTCTAGTGTAACATGAAGAAAAGCAGGAACGGTTCTCTGTTGGCTCCCACACCTTGCCATGAATGTAAATTGGGCTGCAAACTAATTAAAAACTTGGCCATATATTTACTGATATAATTAGTTTGATATATGATTTCAAAGCTTTGCACCTGCATCAGCTTAATTGGCCTCTGCTACACTTGAAATAACTGAGCTGAATCTTCTCTTTTCAGCTTGTATTACGTAGGATCTTCAATTTCTTTGGCATCAGCACAAGTGCAAAGCCATGACTCAGTGCAACACAAGAGGATAGTATTTGTTTTGGCACTAAGTGTTCTTTACACCATACATACCAGCACTCCAACAACATTACAACTCAATCTGTTGTCAAGTTGCTTTAAATGAAAGGTTAGGTTAAAAAACGAAATAAAACTCAAGTACTTAATATTATGCACTTCTTGCTAGTTAAATAACGCTGGCTTCTACTGTGCTTCCACCCTCAAATCTGCATTTCAAACATCTGTTCAGCCAAAGGATTCTCTTCTAGTGAGCACAGAAGGAAGTATCTCCCGCCCCCAGATCCTCAGCTGAGAAGCAACAATGCCTTCCCTTCCTGAATACATGTGTTAAATTCCCAAACCTTTCAGGTACTCAAGGCACACCAGCCTTTAAGTCAGACATAGGCATTTCCAATAATTCCACCATTTCACATCTGCTACTGCAAATAACATTTTCATTCCTTCAAATGCCAACTAACAGATGTAACAGCCTTCTCCAGACTTCTTGCAGCAATCAAGTTTCAGTGGCTGAAATATCCTTACCTAGGTTGATTGTCCTGGGAAATAGTCTCCCCTCTCTGGTATCCATTGTCTGCCACCTGGGTTGTAGAGCGCTTCACAATCTGCTTGAGCTCTTGCTCCAAGCGATCCTGGATGGCTTTCACTGTTTCAGGGATTTTTTTCAGCTTGGCCAGCCCTTTGATGAGTATGCCCATGAAGACAGTGCTGTTCTCCTCTGGATCCAGTTCCGTATCTTCTTTAACTTCCAGAAGGCTTGTTTCCCGCACTGGAATAGATTTATTAAGACATAATCCATGATTTGAACTATTAAAAACATGACTGAGAACCACATAGAAGCAGCATATAAACTCCTTTGCCTTCACAGAACTCCTACCACTTGGAGCAACCAAGGAATAAACAAGGAAACCAGAAACTCAAATTTGGAGGAAAAGCAGTGGATCATAGAATGCCAGGTTGGAATTGGACCTCAAGGATCATCTGGTCCAACCTCTCTAGGTACTACTCTAGTTGATCTGAGGTGGCTCAGCACCCTGTCCAGCTGAGACTTCAAACTGTCCCATCTGGGGGAATCCACCACTTCCCTTGGGAGACTACTCCAATGTTGGACTGTCCTCATGGGGGAAAATACACCTCATGCCCAATGGGAATCTCCCCAGGAGTAACATGTGCCCATCACCCCTTGTCTCTTCCATCTGACTCCTTGTCAACAGGGAGTCTCCATCTTCTTGGCAGCCACCCTTTAAGTACTGGAAGATGGTCATAAGGTCTCCCCAAAGCCTTCCCTTCTCAAGCCTGAACAAACCCAGTTTTCTCAGCCTCAGTGGATATTTGCTTGGGGGTTCCCTATACAGGGACACAACAGCTTGAACACCTGATTTAGAGATCACTGTGTAAGTTATGGACTTGTTAAGAAACACAGGAAGGTTCATGCAATTAAGATACCCAGAAAAGAGAAGATATTATACCTCTACAAATCCCCTGAATGTTCTTCAAGAAGCTAAAAGCCCTGTGTTCCTAACAAAATTGTTTTTCTTCACTATATTCTTCACAAGAGAGGAGTTTTCCTTATAAATACTCTCAGGTTTAACAGACTTAGGATGAATTTCCAAAGTTCACACTGCCAAAGTGAAAGATGGTTTGATGTTATCCTGCTCTGCTTATTAGATCTGTCAAGGGGCTGATAAAGTTACTCCAATCTTTCAGCAAGGTTTCCAGAAAGGAAAAGCTTGAAGAACCAGAGAGGATATTGTGGATACAGTCCTCCTGAAGTAACAGGGATTGCACAGGGGGAAACTCTGTTGCTAAGCAACAAGGAAGAGAAAGGCAAGAGGTACGATGCATAACTATGCTCATTAAACAACATTTCTTAAATTACAGATAACACCCAGCAATAACAAAAGCATCACTCTGGTAAAGACTGGGTGAAAACAAATACTCCAAGTCAGAGCCTTCAAGGCAAACTCCACTAAATGAAAGCATCCAGGGAGATCAACAGGCTGGCTCGTTACCAGCCAGAGCAGCAGAACATGGACCACCAGCCCTGAAGCTCACAGCTGAAGCTGTGCCCCCCACCCCACCACAGCCTGGCACAGAAACTAAAACCCTAACAGCTGTTACATCCTGCTGCTACTGAACTCTGATAAGGTCTGTTAGATGACAGATGACTCCCCTGCTCTCTACTGCTCAACAGATTTCTTTTTGCATTTAAATCCAAACTTCTCCAAAAACCTGAATAAATGTCAAAAGATCCACCACAAGGACTTAAATGACATGGCAGGAAGGAAAAATGGCACGTCACAAGTAGCATGAGCCCTGTAGCTGCCTAAAGCCATGACACACTGAACAGAAGAGCATCAACACTGTGTAAGTTAGCACTAGATGGAAGAAAACAGTGTCCCCAAGAGCCCATATGGTGCCACTTTATAAATAGCACCACGATAAACAGACAACACATTTCAGTGTCAGCTAACACCAACCTCCACAGCAGAGACTGTTTCTTTCCACCAGTATGATCCCAAACATGGCACCTCTAGCTCAAACCAAACTCACTGCTCTCACACTCTTGCATTTCAACCCAGAGCACCATCAACAGTGGTTAAGAGCAAGGTCACTCCCAGTGAGGTCACCACAGACCCCATGAGGTCACTGCAGGGCACAATAGAGAATAACATCAGGTTTTAAGTCATCAACAGAGAGATAAAACAGTGCTTTTTCCTCTCACATTTTTTATTACAATAGGCAACTTACATAGCAAGTAACTAGAAACACCCAGAATGTGCTCATTAAAAATAAAGCAAGGATAATATAAGGGGGTATTTCAAACACAGGTAAGTAATGATAGAGTCATAGAATGTTTTGGGTTGGAAATGACCTTAAAGATCATCTAGTTCTAACACCTCTGCCATGGGCAGGGACATCTCTCACCAGACCAGGTTGCTCCAAGCCCCATCCAACCTGCCCTTCAACACTGCCAGGGATGGGGCAGCCACAGCTTCTCTGGGCAACCTGGGCCAGGCTCTCACCACCCCCACAATGAAGAATTTCTTCCTATTGTCTAACCTACATCTACCTTCTTCCTGCTTAAAACCATTACCCCTCATCCTATCACTACACACCCTGCTATAAAGTCCTTCCCCAGCTTTCCTGGAGCCCCTTCAGGCACTGGAACCTGCTCTAAGGTCTCCCTGGAGCCTTCTCTTCTCCAGGCTCCACACCCCAACTCTCCCAGCCTGTCTCCAGAGCAGAGCTGGTCCAGCCCTCCCAGCACCCACGTGGCCTCCTCTGGCCTCTCTCCAACAGCTCCATGTCCTTCTGGTGTTGGGGGCTCCAGAACTGCACACAGTGCTCCAGGTGGGGTCTCACAAGAGCACAGGGGAAGAATCAGCTCTGTTGACCTGCCGGCCACAGCCAATACCAATTAGAAGTTAACAAATGGATAATCATGAATTTCTGCTTAACACTCAGCTATCACACACCTTTCAACACAGAAGGCTGCAAAACACTTTGAGCTGCTTATATGGTCTACCCACTTTGTTAATGCTACTTGTTCTTCAAAAAAACACAATGTGCCAGGCAAAAAGGTGACAAACTGGCTCTGTGGAATCAAAGCTGTGGGAAAGACAGCACTAGAAATGCTTGAGGAAGAAAAGTTTTAACTCAGTGTTTAAAAAATAACCCCAGTACCTTGTTGTTCCGTGTTTAATGCAAAAATTTTTGCAGCCTAAATAACCTCTTAAGAGGACAGGTCTCCATGACCATGCTACAGCCTCTTTGTGAGCAGGCTGTACATTTTTCTTAATATAACACAATAAAAACCCAAAAGGGAAGAAATCCTGCTGTACCCAAATGTGAGGACAGCATTTATGGGGACTAAAGGCAGCAATTTTGTTGAGAACATCTGCCAGCACACTGAGATGAACGCTCTTCCATTTTCAAAAAAGCAAACCAATTTTGAACACCCTCAAACCATCAGGACATTGATTTACATCTCTTACAAACAACAGCAAAGAGAACAGTTCAATATCGAGTGGCAACAAGTTTTGTTAGATCTGGTCTTTTGATAAAACAGTAGGGACCATGTTTCCTGCACATTCTGCCTATTAAACAGGTATCCTGGGTAGCTTTGGGGGCCCATTTATCTGTCAGATCTGACAAGATTCCAACCCTGGCAACTGAAGATGTTCCTCTTTTCCTACATCTTCCCCACTTCAAACATCTCCTTCTGCCCTTTAATGTCATCAAGGGGTTATTTGACCACAAAGCTTTGGCCCAGGAATCAGCCCCTCCTGTCCCCTCCCTCGTCAAAAAAGGCATCAAAGTTGACAGACATTTGTAAAGAAGTTCACCTTTAAAATTATAATCCCACATGCAGAGGAGCTCCATGGGGGAAGGAAGATGTCCCTACAGAACAGCTGCCAGAACTGAAACCTTCATCTGTATTTACTCTTAAACTGAAAATAAGAATGGCTTTGTTATTCATTTGTATCAAGACAAAAGCACAAAACTGTCAGAACCTGTTCCTAGCTTTCTACAGTCACCAGATTCTACTTGAAACACATCAGCAGAGCACACTGCCCTTCTCAGAGGGATCAGCAATCACACCATAAGCACTTGGTTTCTGTAGAAACAGCATGAAATTTAAAGTTATTCTGTGGATATTTGCAACAATTATTTTTACAATAAATGGTTCTAAATTGTGGGTCTGCTATTTTGATTTCAATAACCTCTTCTCCTTAGTGATTCAGAAAAAATAAAAGGAAAGTCTTATTTTAATTAAGAACAACTGCAATACATTATAAATAATACATATAGAAAAGACTAAAGAATTCTACTGGATTTCTTCAGTAGCAGCAAGCTGCAATTTTCCCCATCCTCCTTAAGAATGTAGCAAGAGAAATGTGATGTCAGCAAATAAATATTTTAGAATTTTAATTATAGTTGCCCTTCCCCAACATAATGAAGCTTTAAAACTTCAATTTGAAATTATGCTAAAAAAACAGCTTCAACATACTGCTTTGTTATCCAATCCCAGCTATCAACTCTTATAAACAGTGTCATGCAAACAACAGAAATACTAGATTGAGAAAGCCTGGTTGAGGCTTTCCCAGATCAGTTTGACACCCAACTTGAACTAGTTAGTAGGTTAATGGTTGGAGTCTATGATCTTAAAGGTCTCTTCCAATCAAAACAATTCAGAGATTCTGTATTTTCAGCTCAACTGACCTCTTGGAAACCTCAATTTCAGTATTGTTCATTATTTAAAGTAGTTTCCATGGTTTAATTTCATTCAAAGATGACACTAAATCACAGAATGACACAAAATGGTTGAGGTTGGCAAGGGACTGTGGCAGTCATCAGATCCAACCTCCCTGCCCAAGCAGGGCCACTCAGATCCAGTGGCACAGGACCATGACAAGGTGGCTTTTGAATATATCCAAAGATGGAGATGCCACAATCTCCCTGCGCAACCTGTGCTAATACTCGGTTACCTTTACATTAAAAAAGCCAAATGTTTCCTCATGTTTATAGAGAGAATCTGTTTCAGTTTGTGCCCATTGCTGCTGGTTCTAGCATTGGGCACCACTGAACAGAGCCTGCCTCTGTCCTCTGTGGCCTCCCTTCAGGTATTTATATACACTCTTAAGATCCCTCTTCAGCCTTCTTTTCTCCAGGCTGAGGAATCCCAGCTCTGCCTTTCTTCTTACAACAGATGGACCGTAATCATCTTGATGACCCTTTGATAGACTCACATCAGTATGTCTAATA